ATCATAGGGAACTCATGAAAGATAAGGATCTTTATCTGCTGAATCCTCTTCTTCTTATCGCTGGTCGCCATTGCAGGAGGATCAGGGAAAACGAGGTGACCGTCTTCGATATATGGTGGAGACACATTGTCATCAGACAAATAGTGCCTGCACAATCTCAACGTTGCCTCGAGCTTTGCTCCTGGATACTTTTCCCACTCTTCAAGACTTTCGAATGGTGGAAACTTTTTCTTGCCAGATTTTGACAGATAGTCAGGATCGCGTTGAGATTGTGGATATGCTACCGCAAGCCGGTAATTGAGCAAAAATGCCTAAGAGAAAAATGAGCAAAATGGCAAAATTGGTAATGTACCGTGAAGCGGAAGGGCTCCCTGCGATCACACAATAACTTAACTTACCCCGGCATCCGTGACATCAACAGCTCCATGTGTCTTTGAACTAGAAGAGTCTGCATCAGATCCACTGTCCCAGTACAATTTTTTCTGTACTCACTTGCTGCTCCACTTTGACATCTGGTTGTCCATCTCCCATTTCTCAGCATCTGCCATGCTTACCATCACTTTGATCTTTTCGTATGGTGGGAGTTCATTCAAGAGCATGATAGGCTTGTCAGCTGGGGGGTCAGTGTACTTGATCGACGTTACTGCCCGTCGAATGATACGTCCTTCATAGCGAGCCTGAATGTCAATGACCCAGTCATTGTTAGCATCGTACACCCCTTTGTATGGATTTCTACCATCAACGCCCTTCAAGGCATTCGTGTTGAATACGGCGAGAGCATCATCATCGCTGTTGTTGCCCTTGGCAACATCCCTCCGCATCTTTGACAGCTCTCTGACTTTCTCCTTCTCGAGCGATTCGGCTGCCTTACCTATGAATGCCTTCAAACGAATAAGTCTTGCGAGGTTGCATAGGTCCTGATATTATAATGAGAAAGAAGCAAGAATCAGAATCAGAATGAAAAGAGCAAAAAAGGCATACACGAGGTGACTGGTACAGTGGAGTTGCCGACACAATTAGGTGCACACAGGTATTTTCCATAATTCTATTCATGCCGTGGTAGGCAGCATTTGGTGTCCGGAAGTTGTGTGCTTCGTCGACAATGACACTGCAGAAACTCCTTGACCATATCGGCTCGTAACCCAATGAATTCGTCTTAGAGGGGCGGAGAGTCGACACCAATTCAGTCTTAGACTTTGTGATCCATAAATTCCGATGTGCTAACTGACTGACACTCTGAAACCCATTTGAAATTCATTATCAGTGAGCTAAACTGGAGTGAATGATCCAATGCTTACACTATGGCTTGCAATGATCACGATGTTGCATTTGTCCTGCTTCGATGAATCAACAGCCTTGTTGAACTCATCCCATCTCTGCTCCATTGTCGGCATTACAAAAATGTCGATGACATGAGGACGGAACCACCATTTCAACTCGCCCACAATCTGCTCTATAATGGTACCAGGGACCAAAATGAGATGTGGTGCATCAGGAATCTGTTTACAGCCACAGAAATATGGCAATTGTGCTAGAATATTATAGTTAATACTGGATGTATGGGACCACGAAGCGAGGGGGCTCCCTACTCGGGCCATACTCACCAAGCACTGGGGGCAGTTCCTTGCCGAGCTTCTGTGCCCGATAGCATGACATTATAAATGCCAGCAATCCCATCATTTGGGCAGTCTTGCCCAGACCCACCTCATCGGCAAGGAGGATTCCTGGGACACCATCATCATCCAATTTTGTCGTCCACAGCATGTTCACCATTGCTGTTATACCAACAATTTGATGCCACATGATGTTCATCACCTCATTGTCTTCATCACCGCCAGGAGGAATCTTGGCGACATAGTCAGGGTTTTCCCAGTAATCGGTGAGGGAAGCGTTAATGAATGGATTAAATTCATCGGGATGGCCATTGTCCCATCGAAGCATTTCAGCAAGCACCTTATCAGTAGTTTTTGACCAAGACTCTACCCCCAGGTCCCCACATTCCTTCCATTTCTCCCACCCAATAAGACCAGGGTGCGAAGGAAGGCCCGGATTGATGTCGATGTCATGTTGTTTGGCCTCCTCCCTATTGCATGTGCTTTCAATGCTCTGAAGCCGAGAAGCAAGGTCCTCATGGAGTGCTGCTATTTCCTCTTCAGTGGCCATAACAGCGATTCTTCGATTCATCATACGTCCAAGGATGTCTGCAACATATGTCAGATATGCAGAGCACTGCATAAAATGAGGGACTTACACTGCGAACTCTTTTTGTTTTTCTTCAACTCCTCCTCCTGAGCCTCTGACTTCAAAAGCGCCTGTTCAAACTCACCCTTCCTCTGCTCATATTCTGCCAATGCAGCCTTATCCTGCTCCGTCGCCTCCCAACCGATGTACTTTTCATATTTCTCGAGAGCGTTCGAGATCTTCTTTGCATCTTTCAGGTGGATTTGGCCATTGCCAGATTCAAACACTGACAATTTTAGTAGGAAACAAAATAGATATAAAGAGTACACACATTTCCACATGGCATCGAGTTCCCCCTTCGCCTCAAGTCTGCATGTTTCTGCCTGGCGGTGATTCTTGTGCTGACGTTCAATGTAGTCTAATATCAACGAGTGGATGAGTTGCTGGAACTCCTCTCACATACAACCCGACTCGTTATCCTCAAATGCTCTGCCAAACATACTTTCTGCAATCTCTGCCTCCTTCGATCCAAACATCATAAGCATGACGAATTTTGCGTTCCCTTTCTTCGCAGCTACCTGATACATCGCCTTGATGTTGATACCAGCATGAAGAATAGCATGGTTGTGTGTGATTCTGAGCTTTGACACCATGCACGATTTCGACCACCAGTGGTGGTATGTGGTCTGGCCTTGGAGAAATGCGTCGGCGCCCTTCGTATTGACGCAAGTTATAGCTTCGTCCAAGGGGAGATTTCCGACGTGCTTCAGAAACTCGCGGACTGCAGGGAGCTCTTCATTTTTTACATTTGAGATGTGATCCGCATCAAACCCGGGGAATCCAAATTGCTGCTGCCATGCTTCCTCATCGAACAGGTCAGGATATGAGGCAAAAATGGCAGCAAATAGAGCACGAGATTTCTGTACAATGCGAGGCATTTTGAAGATGAGCAGTGGTGCTGAATCGCAGAGTGAGAATCAACTTTTTTATGGGGGGAAAGAAAGAATAAAATATATGCGATGCCCATGCCCTATATATATGGCGCTGTGGCATACGAAGCTGATGCTGATGGCGGGGTTTACCTCATAGAGGTTAAATTTTTTTTTCTTCAATTCTAGATGCATCAACGTCAAAGATCAATATCGAGACATCTGGAAACATATTCGATAAGAAGCGTAATTAACCATACTTGGGTATATGCACCTCCTTATCCAGCTTCTTCTTTTTCAGGAACCTGATCAATCAATGACTGCAGTTACCACAGTTTTTTGAAAAAATATTCAGGGAAAACATTCAGACATGTTCAGTGATTATCAATGTGGAATGTATTCAAAAAAGTAATTGTATGCTGCAATAGATCGTCAGTGGAAGCTGAATTTTGCCACCATATATTTAATGCAATTATAGCTGTGATTGCACAAATTACTTTTTGGCCGTTGTGCCATGCACCCTGCCGAATGTTCAATCATATCACACAGCCACTTATGACACAGCCACTTAATTATCTTTTATCTGATCGATCGATTTCATCATCGATTGATAGCCAGCGGCATCAACGTCAACATGCTGTGGGCGCTTAATATCGTTTGATCGTGATTCTCTACTTCCGCATTCGCTCTCCCGCCCCTCGTGCTCAATGTCTATTCCCGCCCTCTGGCGCAATCCATGCCTCTTCCGTCTGCCCTGCCAGCCGATCACAATCTCCGACCTCGACGCTAAATCCTCACCATGAAGATCGACCTTTGGATGAACTGGAGCGTCGCTCAGACACAAAGCAACGCGCAATTGGCTACATTCAAGTCGGATCTGGTGGAATGTGTAAGGGCCCAAGAGCAGGAGGTCAGAGCGCAGTTGGGGTATATGCCGACGGACTGGCTACTTCTGTAAGTGCCGTATGCACCTGTCATGATCTGATTAATTTTAGATCAGGGAGTTGGATCACGGGTCCAACCTTCATTGGACGATCCGGGGATCAAATTCAGGAATCAGGGTCTGGGCGATCCACTGCACGGTCAGCAGTACTGGTGACCATTCGCCCTGTGGGCAAACGCAATGGGAGGACCACACTGGAAGAACGAGTACCCACTACAAACTCCACTGGCTGGGAGATGAGATGCTGTAACGTGAGTTTCGTCATTCTACAGAACCAAATTACCTCTGATGTTTCGCAGGAGCACAGAACACTTTCTTTTCATGACACAACCATAGCTGTTGATTTCTTCTTGATAATCGCCACATTCTTTTGTACTTAGCATTGTTATATTCTTGTAGCATACTTGCCGACCACATGTCTTGACAATGTAGACTTCCACACCATACCATAGTCATTGCTATACCTAGTGTACATTTATTGCCAAAATGTAAAATAAATCTGTAGCATACTGAATGTTATTTCTACCCAAAATTTATTAATGAAGGCCGTATTCTGCTCTCCATGTGAAAATTGGTGATTTACCGCGGAGTAGATGCGCTCACTACAAGATTCTAAATGACAAGAATGGTCATATTTCGAGAATCGGTCATGTACCGCGGACTGTACACGCTACCTACGCAGTTTCTAAATGGCAAGAATGGCCATATTTCGAGAATCGGTCATGTACCACGGACTGTATATGCTCCCTACACAAATTCTGAATGGCAAGAATGGGCATATTTCGAGAATCGGTCATGTACCGTGGACTGAATGCGAGCCCTACAAGATTATAAAACACAAGAATGGGCATATTTCGAGAATCGGTCATGTACCGCGGACTGGATACAAGCCCTACGTAGATTCTAAATGGCAAGAATGGACATATTTCAAGAATCAGTCATGTACTGTGGATGTGATGCACTCCCTACTACATCCCAGAATGAAAATTGTACATGATACAAAAAATTGATGATCAACCGCAAAATTGTAGGGCTCCTGCTGCAGTCCATTGGTATTTAAGGGAGGTCAAATACTTTGAAGTATTTTGTGCTGGATTTATTGGGTAAATCCACAGTGTTGGAACATAAGCTGAATGTCAACACCAAGCCAACTTGACAGATTAATCCATTGGCATCTGGATATGGTAACTAGGCTCAATTGTACTCACTCATACTCTTGAGTACAGCTTCATTTGCTCCCACAGTCATTATTCCCTTGATACTTATGTTTCTATGATACTTATTTTTTATTTAAATACAACTGTATTCTGGTACATTGAATACAATCTTCATTCATTCTAATCATTCTACATGTGCTCAAGTGCTTGCTATAACAAGGATTTCAATAGGTCATAGGCCCTGACCATACCTAAAAATCCATTGAAGCACACTCCAGTATCACGTTGTCTTGCTTATAAACACTGATCATTTATTCATCCTGTCTAAGATATTCTCTTGAGATTGCCTAGTATTTGCTGCCAAAGCTGCTGGTCTTCAAGACCATTTAGACAAGGATCACAAGGCACTACATCCACAGATTCCTGCAGACCCCCAGAATCTCAAAACAGAGGAAACTGCATCAATAGCTCATCATCCAGGAGTGGTGAGGCTATTGAGATCAGAAGAGGCAATAGTAAAGCAGGGAATCGCATCTACAATTCCGGATTCCCTTTCTTGAAGGTTAAGGGAGAGGCAACAGCAGGAAAGATGTGGGAGAAGGTGAAGGATGAATTTGAGAATAAATCGAAGATGATGACAGTGAATTTGTGCTGGAAGCTCCAATCCATACATGAGGACCTCATCACTATGAGAGCTGATTCAGGAGATGAAAACTTTGTTGCAATACTCCTAGGATCACTACTGACATCATATGACCCATATCTAGCAGCGTTAACAGCAACATCTGCTCTCCTCAACAAGCCCCCCCACCCAGACACTTACCTTTATGGTATTCGTGATGAGGCTGACCGACATGCCCTAAAAACTCGGACCAAAGAGGTGAAAGAAGTCACATTCAGTGTAAATGCAAACTCATCTAAAGGTGGCCGGAAAGGAAAGGGAAAGAAATCCAATGTGGAGTGTTATAACTGCCATAAGAAGGGACATGTAAGTGCAGATTGCTGAGGAAAGGGTGGAGGAAAAGAAGGACAGGGTCTGAAGCTAAAAGGAAAAGGGAAGGCTATTGCAAATACTGCTGCAGATAGCGACGACAATGGTGTTTGGGCAGCCATGTACAATTTGGAATCCAAGGAGGATGACTGTAAATGGTTGGAAATGGCAGAACAAAATGTTGCTGAACACTTGGATGCCGAGTCTTCAAGAGGGGTGGAGAATAGTCCTTTAGAAGGGCTAAAAGTGAAATATGTGGATGAAGAAATTGCCTGGCTAACAGATGATGAAGATATCAGTCTGAGTGAGATAGAAGGCAGCAAATCCGATGCAGAAATTGACCACTCACTTCCTAATTGTTTCCCCATGAAATCGATCCTGAAAGTGACTATGGATCAATGTCAGACCTTGAGTTCACTGCTGAAACCAGAAATACTAGTAAGGAAGGAAATCTCTCCACTTATATGCATGTCACATACCTCATAGTTCATCATTTCCAGCACTTGGTCACAATCCCAGGTCCCTTGCAAACCATGATTACATAATGACTTGTTGGAAGGTTAGGGTGGTTCTGTTTTGCTACCAGGCCAAGAACAATGATGGACTGGTCATGGCACTTGTGAGATGGCTGCCTTTTCCCTCTATCCCACCTCCCAATGCTGGTCTTGTATAGCCAGAAACAACAGTGAACTGTGTGTGTTCTCGACATAATTGCATGCACATCATTGCACTATTTTTGTTCTCCTCCTCATTGTCAGGATCCACTACTACCGTTGGAATCAATGGACAAGAATAATACTCCTCTGAGGCAAAAAAAATAGGTTATCTGAAGTGATGTGACAATATTCACAGAGTCATACTTTTATGAACCTTTCTTTCTTTGCAAAAAGTCTCTCATCACCATTGCTCACTATCTTGGATAGCAGTCCAAAGATGGAGGCACACAAAGAATTGGATGTTGGAATGGCCATAGTTATACATAGTAACAAGATGGTGGTTGGAGATCAATGTTAGGAGATGCATGAGCAACAGCTGGTGTTGGAATTTTAAATACAACTTGAACTACCACCATCCTCACCGATCAAGCCCTTTCTGCTCTTACTCTCCAAGCAATGTCCAAACCCAGCATCTCGATATCCCCTGAAAGCGAGATGATAGGCCTCCAACTCCTCAAAGTCGAAGATCTCAAGCATCACATAGAACTCTGCATGTCCTATGAATTCGTCATGAGCAATCAAACTGCCAAAGATGAAACAGCAAAGGCCAAAACCTATTCAGTGAAGCAATCTCTTCTTCATGAAATGTTGGCAGGACTTAAGGGCATCAAGGTAAAAATGGGTGAAATGTTTGGTGAAGACTGGTATGTTCCACAGATTGTTTCATCCATGCCCTAGCATATTGTTTTCTTCTAGATGCATACAAGCTCATGGTTACAGAAGAGAAAATGGTTGCTTATTGGTGACTATGATTCTTTGCTGAATCTCCTTGATGTGCCAACTTTTTCATTGAACCAGGCTGACAAACGTGATGATCTTTTCCTTGCTCACCTTCAATTTTTCTGGCTCAGGATCCTCTCTTTGATCCTCCTCTGGTTTCTATTTTGGGTCAAAGCTTGAAGCTTGACTTCTGGTACATCTCAACAGAATCTCGCCGATGCATTGGCTCACCATATTGAACTGATAGATCACCTCACCCATACACTAGGATATAATATGAATAATGCATTGATTCAACTGTTTGCACCAGGTCTAGGATGTACAAGAAGTATACTGCAATGTAAATTAGTAGCTTTGGAGATGGTTATCACTTGTGGATGCACTGAAAGTCTTGATAGATGTGTGCTCTTCTTTTGGGAAATGGATGTAGAAACTGTCTGATTTTAGATGTTGGTAGTCAATAGTGACATTGGTGAGGAGGAAGTGACAACACACATAATTGGGCAGTTAACATTCCCAATAAAGCCCAATTGAAAAGGCTGCCAAAGAACTTGGAACAGAATCAGAGTCACATGGGGAAAATGTAGTCATAGACTCACAACTGGTCCAATACTTCAATGTTTTAGATGAAGAAGAGAGTGAATGATAAGTAACATACTACAGAAGTCGGATTGTCAGAAAGGATGGTACAGAGGTCATGGTTGGTCGATATAATGCTAGGAAAAGGAATCCAGAAATTGATTTTATATAGTGAAGGTCAGCAGCATTCAAGTGGGTGCAGGAACTGCTGAGGGGTTTTGTGGACGATGTAACAGTGGAGGAGCTGCTGCTAGTGGTTGTTCTGTAAAAAGATCAGCACCAAACTCGATGAGAAGATGCTGCGCTCGTAGCTGAAGTGACCATCCCAGTGCCATCTGTAGTCAATACCTGGCCTGCGACCACGATAGTTCCAGAAGTAGGCTGCCCCAGCACCAGATTGGAGGAAAGGATTTAGTATGAGCTATGCCTACCCAACTTCTGTATAGCAGCCGGAGCCACAGCTAAGGTGACAGAGATTCAGAGATAAATCAGCAGCAACCAGGGCTGGTGGTCACAACAAGGAAAAGACACATAGTTGATGACGGATGAAAAGTGGCAAAATCGCAGCCAAAATTGGAACACTCAAGGGGACAGATCTAGCAGGAAAAGGGATGGAGAAAGCATCATAAGAGACTAATCCTTTTGATATTGAAAAAGGTAGGGACAAAGGCACAGTAACAAGAGGAGGGACAAAGACAAAGGGAAGTGAAGAAAACATAACAGACCCACTATCTTGAATAACTACACCTGATCACGGAGCAAATTGCAACCAACGCATACAACCAAATGATGGCTGCTCCTCCAATAACAGTCAGATCACGAGTAGTATGATGGCACAATTCCATCTGGATGGGAGAAAAGGTTTATCGTCCAATGCGCAAAAGGAAATGTTCATACCTGAGAGGAGCAGACTCGCATCCTCGTCATCTAAACTTGCTAGAGTAGGCATGTGCATGGTTTGTGAACTTGAAAAGGCATTCAAAATGACCTCCGTCATTGTCTTCGAACGGGCCTGTGCTAACAGCACCTATATGCGGTCAGTTAGCTTATGAAAAGAAAAAGATCGGATAATAATAATCGCACCTCCATCATTCCTTGGATGAATTCCCACTTATTCTCTGCAAAGTCAAGCTGGGCCTGTATCCCATTGTGATTCCTCCATTGTCCAAGGTCCACCGCCATCTTCAGGCCTTTGATGAGAGCCTCGGCTGTACTGAGCTAGGCATGAGTAGGAAGTCAATGTTGGAGCGGAAATTGAACCGTACATGGCATAATCTTTGAGGGATGTCTCGAGGTTCTTGCAGAGAGCAGTCCCAAACACAGATGCTGTTCCTTTGTTCCCCTTGGGCTTGTGTAGTATGAAAACCAGTAAATATGAAAATTGACGAATCCTGTGTACGAGTGCATCGACTTGGACTGCTTTCCCCTAAAATAAGCATTTATTCATGGAAGCTACAGCAACGTAATGGATCATCTTCCCTTGCTTTGCTTAATGGATTCCTCCAGCTCTTCCTGAAAGTTGGCTGCAACGGTCAATACCGGTTTCATGACTTTGAGAACATCCATCTAGATCTCATGGTCATTACATGATAAAAAAAGAAAGGAAAGAATACAGGACTTGCCGTTACTGGAACCTGGCCTAAAGGCGATTCTGCAGGTTTGGCATGCAACTCTCCACTCTCCGGTGGGGTCATCTCCTCAGCATTCGCCTTTTCCCCATCCTCTTTATTTTGCTGACTAAAAAGTCGGCAGTGGTCGACAAGTTCCACTGGCGGTGGCTGGGACAACTTCCCATCGATGATCGCACGAAAGAATGTGGCTAGTTTACCGCCCTGAGATACGAGGCTAGGCAATTCCTCGGTACGAGTTGAATGCAATCACACATGATTATATATAATCTGCGCCGACCCTACCGCTGTCTTACCCCGCCCTCGCCATAATCCATATAATCCCACTCACCACATCCCTTCTATCCCCTCATATCACTCATGAAACTCTACCCATCTGGCATCGCACTCGTCACCGGCGCCGGCCAAGGCATCAGCAAAGCCGCCGCACTCTCCTTTGCCGAATCCGGCATATATGGCCTCGTCCTCGCAGGGTGCACACCCGCTCCTCTGCACGCCACTGCGCTTGAATGCAAAGCCATAGCCGAGAACACGGATCTCGACATCCTCGTCGTCCCTACCGATATAAGCATCGAAGAGTCCATCAAGAACCTTATGAAGACCGCTGTAGATCATTTTGGATGAGTCGATTATTGTGCGAACATCGGCGGGGTGGGTTCCCTCCTCTCCTCTCTTCTTATCTAAAAACCCGGGGCCCTGATGTTTTTGTCCAGACGATGGGAACCAAGGCGAAATTCTCCTCCATACCAACCGAAGACTGGGTCGCCATCCAGCAAACGAACATCAACGGTATCTTCTGGCAGGTGCGGGAGCAAATCAGCGTCATGGAGAAACAAGAACGGCTCATCACGCCGATTGTGTCTCCCAAGCGCCCTGCTGAGCGTGGGAGCATCATCGTGCTCAGCGCCGCAGCAGCAGTGATCGCCCTACCCCACAGAGGCACCTACACTCACACCAAATACACAGCAAATGGGTTGACGAAAGCTGTGGGTACACTCTTCACCCCTACTGCCCTTCTCTACTAATTAATTCGTTGCAGCCCAAGACCACACCTCGAATGGCATCCACATCAACGCCATCCTCCCAGGCTACATCTACACCAAGGGTCTCGCTTCGCACCCTGCCGCCATGCCCGAAGCTGCGAAGCGCATCATCGATGGGTGCCCTCTTGGCCGGTTTGGAGAGGCGGGGGAAATTGGCGACCTCATTGTTATGATGAGCTCGCCGAGGAATGGGTTCATGGTTGGGAGCAGCGTTTTGGTCGATGGAGGCCAGACGTTGAGTGGGGAGTAATGCAATTTGATTTCATTTTTTTTATCCTGCTTTTCGTTGGTGTGCATTCTCATGAGGCAGACCGTTATCGAGTAGAAAGACCGTGGCTTTTTTCGGTAAACATCGAGCAAGGTTCGAGTCAGACACAGACACCTTGCAAATCATTCTCAATGGCTACGTCTTCCCTCTTCCCTTCCCAATGATATATGAACGTGGTTTGCCTCCTTTCCAGAAATCAGAACCTGATGTTAGGGGAGGGTTGACAAGTATCAGATATCCATCTTGTCTATAGCCTCAAAGAAAGTGATCTAAGCATCGGGGATACCTTTTTTTTTTCCCAACGTTCCCAATCCTACGATCCTCCATGATGCATCCATGATTCTTCTCATCTTCTCATCGTTTGCACCGCTTCGATTCTAGATACATCTGAGCACACATCACGTCTTTGGATCTACAACCGCCAGCTACTCAATAGAGGTTTCCTATTGGGGATGGCCTACATAGGTCTTCAATAATGATGCCCGTAAGTCAAGTCATGTTCAACTCATTCCCCTCATGTTCAGGCGTATCCTAGTAGAAAAGCCCGGTAGAAGCACATCGACAGTGCCCACATTCTGCACTGTCATATTTGTGCCGGACACATCATGATCACCCTAAATCATGGAGGATTTCTCATTGAATCCGATGAGTGCATTATTCTTATGGACCGAAGCAGTGACGACCATTCACAGAGAACCGTAGGTTTTTCATAAAATTCCACAAGCTTGTTTCATTATATCATATATATCTAGGGTGTCTGGAAATTCATGACTGTTGAAGACCGATAATCTGCCTTATGGGTTCTGCTTCACATTGTCCTCCGACATACCGAACATTCACATTCACCGACTGAACTCCACCACGACTTGATGATGTGGCTTGAGCACTCTATAACCGACGTCGAGGGTACATCTGGCGGTTCTGCAAAGATCAAACTGTTGAACCGTTATTCTGCGATGCCTTGCTTTGCCATCCAGCATCTCAACGAGTTGCTGCGCGAATTGCTCGACGTTTTCGTTATCCGATATCAGTCAAAATGTACCACAGAGGAAATTCAAACACATGAAACATGGATGATTCCATATCCTGATCCCACTACAGAACTCCCGGCCGCCTCATACTTCATGAAAATGGGAAAACTTGAAAACCCTACCTGGCTTGTCGAGACTTTGCGTGCACATGCGGAGAAGATGAATGTCCGGCGAAGGGGCAGCTATGACTGGTGCTACAATGCATGTTTCAGCAGGGACGGCTGTTAGAAAAGCTGCAAATACCATTCGGCGGCGATGGCCGGTCTTGATAAAAAGTGGTGGAAAGGCATGGGCACTGAGATCCATTGATGAAGCTATGGAGGAATAGCAGCAGACTTATTATGACAATCCGCATCAATGTTGGATGCTTCGTCCGGTTTCATCGCGTTCAATGTAGTACAATGCGATCACATCTACCTTTCCAACCATGTTACATGTATATTGTAGCACAGACCTAATCAAATTCTGTCTTTTACCTTCTCTTCTCCTGGAAGCTCTGAATTCCCTTGTTAACGTGGGGATAATTGGATCATCATTCTTGTACACTGTATCAGTTCTAAATATTCTATGACCATTGTAGAGATGCCGAAGTTTCAGATAATAATAAATATACTATTGTTTTTTAGTGTGAGGTGTATGATTTACATGGCTGCAGGGGACAATAAGAAAGGAGAGACCAAAATGTCCAGTACAAGGGGAGACAAATAAACGCGTAAAGGTAAAGTCGTGTCGAATATAGTTTATTCGAGAAATTGCTCAGTGTCGATGTAGAGCGATGAAAAAAGCTGCTCGAATGGTGGAAGAGAGAAATCTTCTGTTGACGATCCAAAGCCCATGGAAGATGGGTCATTTGATGCGAATGCAATCAAGGAATCGAGGGCAAGCACATCGAAGTCCACTGGACTTGATCCGGTGGATAACCCATCGAAACTAGCTGTGGAGGATTGATCGAAATCCAGGTAAAAGGGAGGCGAAAGCAGCTGAGGCTCAATCACGATGGAGTATGTCAAAGAAATGGAAGACTCGGAGCTGAGATCTGATGATGCAGGCAATGCCTCACAAAGAAAGAAATCAGGCAGTGGTGATTCGATCATGCCACCGCCGAAATTCATCAATAGCGAGTTGTCGGTCGCACTGGAGTCAGAGGGTGAAGTGACCATTTCAGGCAGATTCAAGTCGTATCCTTGTGGGGAGGCAATTGGTAGGAGAATCGGTGTGTCCTCTGGGAGCCAAGCCTCAATGTCAGATTTGGAGGACACCATTTGGAATGTGATGAATCCTTCAAGTGGGATGCCGGCATTGACACCGGGGTGAAGCTGTTTCGCAGGAAATGTTTTGTGGACGAAATTCGGATCGAGAAACAATTTGCAATCCTTTCTGTGGCGATGCCGGCCAGAAGCACTGGGTGAAGCGAAGTTACATCCCAGGGCACCACATTTGTATGGCTTTTCGCCCATGCTGGGGTGGAAATAAAGTAAGGAGACAAACGGGGGAAATTTTCATAGGAGACTCACTGTTTTGAGCAGATGTGGGCATCGAGGTTGGGTTTTTGCCACATGCGCATGGGACAGTATTTGCATTTGTGCATGCAGCTGAGAAATGGAGGGTAAGCAAAAGGTTGGAATGAGAGATAAATCAGATCTACCTCTCGGCATCAGGGAGGTGTGTCTTGGTATGTCGGCTAAGGCCAGTCACATCGGAATATACCTTGAAGCAAACTTGGCATTGGGTCGGGGTATGTTTCTGGATCAAAGAGAAGATTACATCAGCATTGGGACAATTGAGTGCCACTCGGGTCTGATATAAAGAGAAGAAATGACGATGAACTTATAATGGCCACAATTGTGAGCAAATGAGGGATGTTCCTGATTATTGCAAGACCAGAGGCTAGTTGAGTGCTTCAATGTTTTGGCTAAGTCTGTGGAGACTCAGGTCAAGCTACGAAGGCATCAATGGTAGCTTTTCGGCAGAAACATCTCACAGTCGGTAAGTAGCAGTCAAGAAAATAATATTACAGAATTATTTGCCTCCCGAGCCTGTTGTGCAAGGTCGGTGCACCGACTCTCGAGTCTCAAAAGCATCCTCTGATCTTCTATTCCTTTCTTTGTAAGTCTGGATTATTTTCCAGACACAGACTAAATAATAAGCATGTCAGTGTGTGCAATTTTTCACCTGCACTGAACAAAAATCTCCTTCATATCCAACAAAAAGCAGATGTGCAATAGTTTTGCGACAGCGCTAAGTCTTGACCATGGAACGTTCCCATGTTCAGAATTGGAAATTGCCAGATCAAGATATTGCGGACATGGTGTCTCTTAAGTGTGAGATAGAGATGGAACAACTGACAGAAAACTTCTAATGATGTGGAACCGCTATTTGCCTCATATATAAATTCAGGGTCTTACAGTAATCTCCTGGATTAATTATCATGCATGCCTCTTCAACTCTACCTCACACCAGGAAATTATGTCTATGCTATTCATCTGCCACAGCTGCAGAGGAATGGACTTCATCCGTGAACCCGTCGCTATCTGTCAGTGTGGTGAATTCTGGTGCACACAGTTATGCCTAGATGTGGTACGTTGCATCCAATATTTTCCTACCACCAAACTACTGAAACTTGTGAATCCAGTGCTTTCGAATCCATTTCATGGAGGGTCCATGCCTACAGCATGGATTTACTGATTATTATCCAAGAATCGACCAGGAAATAGTGTATCAGGATCCAAGGAGGACCCGTATTCCAGGACTCCTATTTCACCAATGCAGTATGCCTTCATCTTGTTCCTATTTTCACAGACTCAAAATAAAGGCATAAGGCTCGGCCCCTACGGAAATTCCTCTCATGTTCATATTCCGAAACGGAACCTATGGCGAAATAATGGAATATATGCCGCAGCTGGATGACTTCTTTTCTCGGGATAAGCTCGCTTGTCGAAGGGTCTTTGAACGAGGTGATGACCCGCCATTTGAGCTTTGGTACCCCAAGAACCAAATGTGCCTGGCCATGGATCCCGATTCTGTGAACAACACGATTGTCAGCCTCACCGGTTCTCGTGAGCCAACGAAATTATGGTACGGCCCAGTCGTCGGTCTAATACTCGAGAAAGACACGTATCAGAAGAAGTATGCAAATGTACAACAGCATCACTTGGACCTTTTCGCAACATTTTTCAGTAGTTGTATCACTCCCTTTTTTGTTGTTTGAGTGGGACATGAATCAGACCATTTACCATACAGGAGCTAGTCTCTGTATTTATCTTAGAATCCTTTTCATTCTTGGACATGGAATCTGTGCCCTCTCAACTCTCACTTTGTGGATGATATTATGTTACTTCAAGGTGTCTCACAACTGACAGGAGTTATATTCTCCGTCAATCGCACTACAATCATCTAAGCGTTAGACAATTTAACATTTTGAGACGATTACGATATAGAGGACTCGACTGTGACTCAGACTACAAGCGAATTGAGAAGTCACTTGTGTTCTTGTCTTTGGGCATATCCATGGGCTCTCTCCCGAGGAATGGAAATATTCCCTGCCAGAGCATTCTGACATACAGTTCTCTGCCTTCCCAGATATTTGCTTGATACCAAATGTCCCATGCTACCTCAAGACAGTCATTCTAGAGGTTGTAGAACCAAGCATTTCCAAGCAAAAAGGATTTACCTTGGATTCCCTTAAACAGCCACGAGTCCTTGTCAATACTCCAAGTGCAGACAAAGGGCCGAGTCATAATATTCTCACTGCTGCAATGAAATCCATCGAAAAATCCCTTCTAAGTACAACTTTGGGAGGAGACTGATGATGGATGCATTAGGCTGATGTTAAGTGGCCAACGTACATGATGGTATCTATAGTAATAAATTTTCGGAAGTGCGCGCGCGAAAGTGAAATTGAAGAAATGCAAACGGTGTCAACACCATCAATTGCTTTATAAGTGTTGGAATTTTGCTGGAAAGTTCTAGAAAAGACAATCCAGCATCATGCCGAAAGTTAATGAGTAAGCCCGAGAGAAAGAGAAAGTTGTAGTAAATTCTAGATACAAGCCTGGAGAGTATAAATATGAGCTCTGTAGGAGCTGTAGAATAACAAGTTCATACCATCTGGCCTTAACAGCCTGGAATCTACCCTGCGCATCACCGAGGATTTCCAACAATAAGTGCTGAACAACTGTCAATTGCAGGTTCTTGGAAGTGACAATGACCACGTTCTTCTTCCAGCGGCAATACAATATTTTCAAATACAGGATGCCTACTGATGAAGAGGATGTCGACGCTATGTAGTGCCACAGTCGTATACCCCCATTGAGATCGAGGGAGAGGGAAGAGAGGAATGTTGGCATGCCATTGTTCCCCAATGCAAAGCTCTTCGTGTCCTAATGCAAATAATCCTGGGGCAAAGAACGAGAAGCAGGAGCTCAACAATAGGTTCACTCTGCCTGAACGATTCAGGATCGACGTCATCAAAAACCAGCCACTTGATCGTGGTTACTGAGTTTGCCTGCACACATTGTCTAGCAAACTCATGTCCCACTCTGGAGCCTGCGGTCTTATCCAATGGAGTTGGGAGCGGTTCCAGAGTAGAGTGCCCCCCCACACCACCTCAATACCGATGTCCCCAATTGTGATCCTATCCAGATGTCCCGATGAACGACGATCTTTTTATGAAAGAGAATTCGTTCCACCCAAAGAGCAGAGATCCCAACCTGTAGAGCAGGAATTTGTCGTAACTAACGGTGAGGACGATGACCAGCTATTCTTTAGCTTCGAGAAGCTGGTGCACACCTAAGGAGAACGACCTGGGCAGATTCTCGCATGACATATCCTAGTCACTACCCTGTTAAAATACGAGCCTTGCTACAAAGGCCATTGGCCATGTGACTCATGAGTTCCGCCATCAAGACTTGAAATTAGAAAGAAAGAAAGGCGGTCCAACGACAGCCTGATCGCAGACATTGAATCATAAAAAAAGGTATTCAACTGCTCTTCATTTCCACCCTCTCTTAAGCTTTCTTCAGGCTTCGAGACAATGCTTTTAGCAGAAAGTTGTATAGCTTTGACGATGATGGGCCATCACAATGGTGGTCGCCGAAGGTATTCGTAAGGGCCGATGATACAAACCAACCAAGCTCAGTATATATGGATCAGCCTAGGATCCAACTTCACCTCTCCTAGGATTTCATATCTCTTCGAGTCTCGATATCTGCCCTCATAACCCCCATGCGATATGCTGGACCGAAAGAGCAAAGGTCGAGTAAGTCCATCTGTGAGGTATACTGCTGATCTCCCCACGAGTAGGTCTAGCATCCTCACGAACAGAGCTAACATTCGTGTAGGAATCTGTAGTTCGTACAGTTCTGTATATCCTCTCTCAAATACAAGCTGGGACGCATATGCGTTACCATCCCCTGGATTTGCCTCTCAGCTATGGACCAATTGTACATGTCCTTATTCTCCCCCGTCGTTATTGTCGGCGGGCACAATGGAGCAGTGCGTGGTAATCGAATGGTGTCAGGCAGTACAACAGAGCGAAGCTGGACAGACGAGACGAGACGACAAGGAAAATATCGCCTCAGGCTTGTCTTTAAGAGTGTTTGCATCTGAATCAAGTGATTATTCGAGGTCCAACAATGGCCTCCTGGTGAATCTGGATCTAATCTACGATCTTAGTTCTTTACATAAAAAGGAAGGATGAAGTTTCTCCAAGAATGGATGTTCTCAGAGTCGAACTGGGGTCATTCGCTACAATGTAGTACGCAATGAAACAGCTACACCAAAAGCCGTGATAAATGCACCACTCCGATATATTTTGTTGTTCATAATGTGGTCAAGAGAAATAACGCAGAGAGATTACAGACAACTTGAACAAGCAATAAAACACAGACTCGCCAAACATGAATGGAAAGCGATCTTTCCCAACAACGGCGGAATTTCTTCAGAAAGAAAATGTCGCTCGACGGCTGCCTTTGAAAGAATCTGCGAATGAAACTGAGCAATTTTTTGACACTCTTTTCTACAATAGTTTCTCATACGGCTTGAAGCTCTCCAGGTAACTTCCCCATCTGCCATCATTGTGCAGGAAGGAGAAGTATGATAAAGCCAGCTTTGACATAAGACCACTGTGAGTCTCTGACTACATATCTAACAGCCCGAAGGCGATATCAAGTTTGTGGTTGCATTTCAAATCAGCTCAATTCATAAATATTAACCTGTATCTCTACTCTCCGAAACTCTCTGTTCGCTTTTCAATCAATCATTAGGAAAGTAGAAATGTCGAGGCCTCATCAAACCGTCCGGAAGCCTCGTATCGGTCCACTTCTGTAACACCCTGTAGTGATTGTCACAGCAAGAGAATTAGATATCGAGAGCGGTAAAAGCGTCGCTTCCCTTATTAACCTCCTGAGGACATAAAAGACGGCCCCCCTCCTCTCAAAGTCAATAACGATGACTTCCCAGTCCTTGGTGATAATTATCGTGATGAATGACACCCTTTGCATTTATCTGGCTGAAACAATGGATCATCGAAATGTACTGGTCGCAAAGTGTGAGAACGGACTCGAGATGATAATCCAAAGAAAAAAAGAACCAAGGCACTGAGGAGTTTTTTTCCCTTGAGAAGATAATCTGCATCCAATATTGCACTGAGTGGCGGACCTTTGTCATGGAAGGGATAAGTTTCAAGCCACTCCATTGCTGGTTTTCCTTCAATATACTCCAGAAGCAGCACACGAGCTTTCTCTCCATTTGGCATTGTTAGTTATGGAATAATCAGCTCACCAGAAATACAAGTCCTTCTAGTAATGATCGAAACTCGCCTTATGGAGCCCATAATAATATGGTATCACAGATCCTTGTAGCGATTCCAACTCGGTATAAGCCAAATTCTCGATCCGTGCCAATCGTCTAGGGTTCGGACACTTGACAGTTACATATCTCTGGTCATCCAAGTAGGAAGACGGGAGAAGAGGTGGTTGGAAGATCTTCAACACGATGCTTCCGAGCGACACAGTCCGACCGCGCTTCTGGACCTCGGTCATCCAGACTTGGGACCACCAGTTCGTCCCGCTCTGAAGGGGAGTTTCCAGAGTGAACTGAGGCAAACCCTCTGCAAGAGTGGATTGAAGCGCATTTCTCAACAAATGTCGAATCCATTAACAAGCTGCGATAGTGTTCCACAGCACAGAATGGAACAGATAGTGAAATATAGCGTAGTAAATGTATATCATTAGAGTTATGAACAAGAGATGTATCTCAGGTGAAACAATGATTGCGAGGGCCTGTAGTAGAGCAGATAAATATGAGCCTCAACCTGGATACGTCAAGCCTCGAGGAGAATTCTTCATCGCCCAGTGCTCAAAGTCTTTCCTATGCTGACTGCAGCAGCCTGTCAGCAATTCCACGGAGCGATAACAGTTCTCATGGGCATCGATGAGGTCCTGACGCACATTCAGCTCCGCAAATGCAAAGTCGATGTACACGACCTGCTTCAGGGATGTTGTAGATGCGATCATCATATTTCTCCTGCTTGAGGTCGTAGTGTATTACTTTACGCTCGGAAATTGCAGACATGCCTCTTAGCGCTGAAATGTACTGAGGAATCATTGGTGACAAAATCGTCAAAATGATGGAGGAGCGCTTACGAGCTCTTTTGCCATATCGAGCCATTCACTATAGGACTTCTGAGGCAAGGGATTATATCGAGGGGTATCGTGGCTCGGATACTTGTCTTGTAGCTGAGCGAGAGTTGTTCCTTTGATATACTCCATGAGAATCACATGGGTAGACTCTCCATGGGGCATTGCCAACTGTGCATAGTAAATCAGCAGTACAAATACTACAAAGTAGAGGCATACCTTATGTTTCGCATAATACTGCGGAATAGCTAAGCCCTGAACATTCTCGAGCACGTTGTACACCAGATTCTCAACTCCAGCTAGATTTCTCGGACATTCGTATTCACTGGTTGGATCAGCCCACACGTCCTATGGTCATATTCTACTTAAATGCTTTCAGGCATCTTCGATACTCCCATCCAAAGGAGCCGCTTCATCCATATATGTCCACCAAAAGAATCTCTAAGGTGATACCATGCCATATAGTCATTCAAATCTGAGCCTAAACCTGATATGGGGCTTTAGCCAAATTGTATGTCAACGGATGCGAAACTTACGGCTGGTGGCAGTGCTTTAGCACAGCATAGGCCAGAGTCATTTTTGATGCCTCTCTTCTTCAAGGGTCCTCTTTTCCAGGCGCCGTTGAAAATGCAGTGCCTGATACAGCTGGTGGAAAGAACAAAAGAAGTGCTGCTCTGTCTTAATCGGATCGGATTCACGGATCAGCTGCAGGTATCTATTCGATCAGCAATCAAACTCATACCTTTCTCTGCGAGCCAAAAGAATTCTCTGTGGGGTAGGTTATTCCTGTATCTTATTGGAAATCCTCGGTGATGCGCAGGGTAGACTCCAGGCCGGTAAGGCCAGATGGTATGAACTTGTTATTCTACAGCGCCTACAGAGCTTGTATTTATACTCTCCAGGCTTATATCTAGAATTTACTACAACTTTCTCTTTCTCTCAAGCTTACTCATCAACTCTCGGTATGATGCCGGATTGCCCTTTCTAGAACTTTCCAGCAAAATCCCAACATATCTGTACTACGATGGCATGGAAAGTAGAAAGAAAAGACAAGTCAAATCATATCATACATTAAGCTGGCGATGCTAAACTGCACATCACAGAAAGACATCTAGAGTTCTATGCTTAAACCAGTCTGGTGTTTTCATCAAGCTGGTGGTCCTCATGTCCAATGTTAACATTCTTGGTTATCGATCTCGCTGGATAGGAACACATTGGTTGGGTAATAGGTCTTAAAAGTCGAACATTCTGACATCAAGGACAATTCAAGGATATAGTCACAAAATCAAATATGATGATATAATGATGGGATCGATTATCACCTTGGTTGCTATGTTTGCTTGTAATGTGCTTCAAATATTCTATGCAGTGCCTATGCTTTGGAAGAGGTGAGTTTTTTGGGAGGGCTACTAATACTATCTTCCCACTTAAAAGTTTTTCAAGTTCTACTGCAGGCTGGTTCCAAGTGGGTAAGCTCCTCTTGAAGGGGTACGTGGGTGGTTTAGCAAGTTGAGGGATGTCGTAGTGCCACATCTTTTATACTTCCTTCCGGCACGCGCAAGCGGTTCCATGATGTGCAATGATGATGATAATTTAATCGTGTCCAGCGTCGGGCCGATTAGGGTTAGGGTTAGGACGGTGTACCCCCTTCGGCGAAGCCGTTGGGGGTACACAGTATGAGTATAGAAAACTCACCTCAAGAGTGTTGAGG